AGTTAAACTTAGTTAAAGAAAAAACTATTTATCAAAGTAAGTACTATTATTTTTATCTAATAAATTAATTAATACTATTTAATATTAAAATTTATTATTAGATTATCATTTTAATTACAATTATAGAAATTTAAGCGAATTAACATTAGATATATTAAAATTATAACCAACTGATAAACAAATTTCTCAAACAATAAGGCATTCACATCAATTAGCTTATGAACTTGCTGAATTTCTTAATATTATGCAGCTTATAAATAATTTTCTTGAAACTAATTCTTTATGAATATTTATTAGTAATCATGAAGAAGAAGTTTCAACTAATTCTAATAAACAAATAGTCAATTCTGTAAATAATGAAGAACAAGATGAAAGTACTAAAATTAGTATTTCTATAGCAATAACTGAGGCTTCTTATAAAATAAAACATATAGTAATAAAGAAGTATAACAAAACTATATCAAACAATTTATTTCTGGAAGAAAGTTCATAGCTAAATAGAATTAATCATTCACATTCATTTGAAAAAGTTTCTATTTTATATGATAGTGATAGTAGTAAGTTATTAATAATAATTTTATAAATTTAAAGTACAATATATTTTTTATTAATTTAATAGTTTTTAAATATAGTCAATTCTGAATTTCAATATAGATCAGAAAACAATTTAGATTTTGAAATTTTATTGTAACAATGACAAAGGCATGAAGCTTATACTTCAAAGTTACTTAAATGAAAGTTTAAATTAGTTAGAACATCTTCTACAAAACTTGATAATATAACAATTCATTCAAATAAAGCTAGCTATATTGTTGTGTATTTTACTAGAAATGAAAATCCTGAACAAAGATTAGTTAAACAACATGAAAAGTAATAGAAAGAAAATTATAAAAAAATATTAAATAGTTTAGCTCAAATTCATGCTAAAGAATTAGCACAATCTAAAAACTACAAGTTAAGTAAAAAGCAAAAATCTTTTGTTCAAAGTATGTATTTTTATTAATTAATTATTTTTTTATTTATAAATTTAACTAATATTATTTTTTTTATTTATAAATTTAACTAATATTCTTAAAGTTCCAAATATT